TGATCTTTATTTATAGAAGAGAGTTTCTAGTTTCATTCTGACATTGACACGTGTCATGTTGTGATTGGCTTCTGATGTTGACACGTGTCATGCTATGATTGGTTTCTGATGTTGACATGTGTCGCGCTATGATTGGCTTCCTGGTTGGAGGGAAACTCTTATGGGTCCTTGAAGGTATAACGTTGACCAGTGCTCAGTAGTTTCGGGATTGGTCAAGTATGGTACCAACAAAGAGTAAGCTTTAGATTGACGGCTAACGCTGTATATTTAGCTTTGCTAGAGTTTCATTTTGAATCAAGTTTCAATACGCTATCTGCCTTGTCGTGAGTGACATAAAAAATGGAAACGGTGTCGTTGTAGTAAAATTGTTAGCAGCATTGCTTCTTATAGGCTCTCAGAAACAGGGCAAACACATTGTGTACACTTCTATACAGTCTAAAATCAATCATTAGTGGCACTGTTTCCTAAAAGCTCTCGAAAGCGGCAGCCACGAAAGAGGAAACAAAAGTATGAAATTGATTTTAGAATATATAGAAGTGTGTACAACGTGTTAGCCCAAATCAACCTGACCCATAGTACATATATATTGTGTTCATGGAGTATTTGGGTATGTTCTACTGAGATCTACAATGTCTAGTACATTTATGCTAAATTTAAATGAGTCAAATTGAGTTGGGCAAGAGGCTAGTTTACCTTAAGCACATAATTGACAAAATGAAAATAAATTATATATTTGAAAAAAAAAAGTTTTAAATGAGTCAGATTGAGCACTACAACAAAACTGGCCTTTGGGTACAAAACTAAGGACACAAATGAAGAGTTTGTGTCTCTATGAACACCAATACGATGGAACAGTGTCCATTCAATAAAGAGCACAATGTATTGTGCCCAATGTAAAAGAAAATTGACACAAACACATTAGGCTGACAATTTTTTGATAAAAAATACACACAAAGGGATATTTGTGTCCATACAAAGATTTAAGCGCACAATTGTACATGTCCTACTTTTATAATCGCAAAAGTATATGTGTCTTACTAAAAAAATTTGGACACAAAATCATTTTAATATTATTTTTTATTGATCAAGGCCCCACCACCTCACCCTACTCAACATTTTCACTCTCTTTCAATCTCTCTTCCACAGTTTCGCTTACTGTCCCTCTGTCGTCTGTCATTTTTCCCCCTTCGTCTTACTCTTTCTCTCTCTCTCTTTTTCTGTGTGTCTCTCTCATCTATCCACCATCCTTCCCCTACTTTCTTCTTCCGCTCCGCCTCCCCCAGACTCTCTCTCTCTCACTTATGTCTCTCTCTCCGACCCCCTTTCTCGACCTTCTCGGATTCATCCATCTCTCTTTCCCTTTTCTATCTAGTGGTTTTTTATGAACCAATCACAGATTCGGTCCATCTCGCTTCCCTTTCCCGATTTGGTGGTTTTTTATGAACCAATCCAAGGTTGCACATCAATAAAAATATCGTGGGTCGTAGGGGTGGGGCAAAAAAATCTCATCAATCCACCACTTCGCCGCTAAATGGGTTTAGGCGGATGTTTTCTGTAAGTTTATAGGTTGTAATTAAGAGTAAGATCCCTCTTGCCACTCTCTTCTTCAAGTATAAATTAATTTTTAAGTTTGAGTTTCTTTCGTGCTATTTAATTTTTGGGATTGTCTTCATCAAGCTATGTTGATCTGGATATGATGAAGGCTTTGATGAAGGGATCTGGGATTATATTTTGTATTTCTTTCTTGCTCTCAGCTTCCAGCCACAACCTCATATAGATGAGTATTTCTGAAGCTTAAAGCTGCAATTATGATTTCAAATTTCTTTTATTCTATTTCTTAATATGTAGTTTACTTCTAGGGTAATTCTTTGGGTATAGTGCATGTTGATTCTAAGAGAAGATTTGAATATGTGAAGCGCAGGTCTCCGATTGCTCCATTTCCTCAGTGTAAGTACATCTCTGCATCTTTATTTCATCAATTATTTTTTATTTTGTTATATTGAGTTCCCAAATTACAGATCTTGCACTGACTTTTCGAGACTACTGAATCTGGAACATGCTAACAACGTGTCCTGCAATTTTCAATTTGCAAAAATCCACACTAATGGTTTGGGGTTTGATAATCCTGGGTTAGTCTTTCAATCAATATATTTTGATTATATGGTTATGTATATTGAGGAACAAAAATAAGGAAGCATTTATGATTCTAGGGCTGTTGAGGAATATGCTTTCAGTTAGTCACTATATTAAGAGAACTGTTTGTATATTTTTCCAGGGTAGGTGAGCAGGGCTGATTTTAAAACAACTGAACCTTATTATTTTTCGCTTGAAAATTATATTTTTATTTGGTTTGATACAAACAGCAACAAAAACAAAGCTAGATAGCTTTTGAAAATTATCATTTTTACACAAAAGAAATAGTTGCTTATTTGAGATAATTGCAAACTCATTTCACTTGTTACTTTCATAGCTTATTATTTTATCTTACAATACAAGGTAAAAGTGTAAAATACATTAACGTATGGGAGAGGTTAATAAATATCCTTTTATTTCCCACTTGTATCTAAACATGTAATTAACTCATGTTGAGCTTCAAATTTACTAGGATGATTACAGTCTTTTAGCTCTCCCATATGTAGAATGAAAATAGCTAATATTAATTTGTTTTTGACAAAAAATTGCGATGGAAAAGTTTCTGATATCAAAAAGTTTGACTTTATGACCTGGAGTTGAAGAGTGAGTTTCTGATTACATAAAATTTGATTGGATATATACTGAGTCTAAATTTCTTCTTGATATTTTAGCTCTCATATATACCGAATCTGATTACACAATCTTGTAGCTCTCATATATACCGAGTCTAAATTTCTTTTTGATGTTTTTACCTTATTCAAATATGCATATCTTAGACCAAACCCATTTGCAAAACCTCTTTATCTGTACTCATTTAGTCATTCTTGGCTCAGCTATACTTTTCAGAGTTTCCGAAATTTGGAAATAGCTCAAAACTATATAGAACATGGTATGAAAGTTTTTACCATGACCAACATTTGGTAATTCGGCTAATGTGTTGCCAAAGAAATGATGTGACATCGAAGCTAGCTTGTTGTTATTTCATGTCAAATATACCAGACTTTTGTTCTCATAAGTTTTGGCTTAGACTCTGCCTTAGGTGTGCTAGGAGTTTATTTTTGATAAATTTTCAAAAGTCTCTTTGTTGATAGTCTAGATGAACCAGTGATCCTAAATCTATAGGAAGCCAGAAGTGATGAACCATGGACAAACAAAAACAAGAAGACTAGAAATAATCAGTTGAAATCTAGTGGGATTTAATATGCATGTCAATGCTTTGTTTAGTTGTATATCTTTCTTTGTACTAATATATGTTTACTGATCTTTAATTTTACCTCAAAAATGTTATCACCCTTTACCCACTAGAATTTTAGTTCTAAAACTCCTCAGACTAAGTATCTTGGTGGTTTCATAATTTGATTGCTGAACAGAAAGTTTGTGTGATACTGTTGTGTTGTTCATGCAGTGTTTCAATGAATAAATTTTCCATGTCAGTTCCATTATGATTAGAAACTAAAAGCATACATGATATTAGTTTCAAATAGGATCTTTAAACTCTCTATTTTAGACTTGGGTAGTTATGATTTTGATTCACACTGAAATGATCCGAGTTTGTTGTATGTAGTTGAAAAATTAGACCTTTGATAGTAAGGTTTGTGTAATTGTTCTATTTATGTTTAGGTAAAATTGCTAAAATTAGTTTAGTTGCTTTGCAAGGTTGTGTTTATTTGGATTTCTGGTGGGTGAATTTCAGTTTTCAGCTCTTCGGGCACCAACACTAGTAGCTGCACCATTTGGTTATAATCTTTGGAAAACTAAACACTGGGGTATGTGTGTTTTTGCAAGAAAAATTGAAACTTTTTGTTGAGGATGAAGATTGATACTGATTGAGAGAAGGATATACATTTTTATAGTCAAATTTTTGTTAGATATTGCTATTTGAGATTACTATCAACTCAACCATTTGTTTTTTTTTATGATTTCTAAGCTTATAGATTAAAAATGTCAGCTTCAATAACTTGGTATATGATCAAGTAGAAGATTGGGGTAATGGCAAATTTAATGTTTGCTTTCTACAGTTTCTTATATTGCTCTATTGTTTTAGGTTGTATATAAATTGTAAAGTGTTTATGCTTACTGAGTAAAATTAAGAAGTTAATTAGGTCCTCTTGAGGAATACAGGGAATAAGCCTATGGGTGTTAACTTAGTTCTTTGATTGTTTCTCAAATGATAACATCAAATTTGAATGTTTACATGCATCTGCAATATATTGATGTCATCTGCTAAGTACTAGGTTGCATTGCATCTTTGAAAAACAATTAATCAGTTGACATATTAAACTTATTCATTAACTTTTGTTATCAAATTGTGAGTTCAATTGTAAACAAGTGCCAAACAGTAGAAGCAAAGATAACTGAAAACTCCAAAACAAGCCACCTAAAGATTAATAAATATATTAATTAGTTAAATTTGCAATGAAAAAATGGGTGCGCCTCAGTGGAATTACTATTTCGTTTTATTATGTGGTTTTTGAATTTATGTTTTTTTTTAATATTTGACCTATTGGGCACAATAATAAAATTTGTGCCAACATTGGATGAGAAAGTACTCTGACAGCATTGTCAGAATTGAGGCACAAAAGACCCTTAATTTGTGCTTGCATCTTTAGCACGAAACACGGTATTGTGCCCTTTGACAAATGGTGACGCCCATAGAGGGCACAAACAATATTTTAGTTGCTGCACTATTGCTATTGGTCTATGGGCACAATTGTGGGTGCTCTTTGACCTCAAAGGGCATAGATAATTTATTATGTGCATTGCCCATATTTGTTGTAGTGGAGCTAGGCTAACACGTTGTACAGACCAAACTCTTTCACAGAGCCATCGTCAAGCTCGAGTTTTTCTCCATGGACCAGCACCACTGCCTACGCGGCATCTCCCTCCTCCAAATCCCAGTTGCAGAAATTCCTCACCCCAGAAGCTTCCGAGGCATTCACACTGGGTGGTCCAAGATCAATCTCGAGGTCTTCAAATCTGTCATCACTTCCGGCACCTAGCATTCTAAATCCAAGGAAATTGTTTTCAGTGCCTTTTAATTGAAAATTTGTCACTTTACTTATAGTTAGGTTTAGCATAATCCTTGGGGATGAACTTTTAAGTGAAGTTTCCTCAACAATCAAAATAAATAAATAGAAGCTTTAAGAAGTAAATATTGATAGGGAAAGTGAAGATTAACATCAGCTAAGAGTATTCACAAGCTGCTTCTACCGATGCTCAGTTGGATGAAGAGTAAGTTTAAGATCAATGGCTAACGCTGCTTGTGCATCTTTGTTGGGGTTTCCTTCCGAAGCAAGCTTTAATATGATATCCGCCTTGTCGCAAGGACACTGAAAACAGAGACGATGCCATTGTAGAAATTCGTCAGCGGCATTGTTTCCTAAAGACTATTGGAAGTTTGGGCTAACATGTTGTACACACTTCTACATATTCTAAAATCAATCGCCAACGACATTGTTTCCTGAAGGCTCTCAGAAGTGGCAGCCTCGAAAGAGGAAACATAAGTATGAAATTGATTTTAGAATATATGAAAGTGTGTATAACGTGTCAGCCCAACTCAACTTGACTCATTTAAAACGAGCCCAATATAGTACATATATGTTGTGTTCGTCGTTCTACACAAAGATCTACAAAATCCAGTACATTTATGCTGAATTCAAATGATTCAAGTTGAGCTGGGCAATATGCTAGTGTACTTTAAGCACATAATTGACAAAGTGAAAATAAATTATATATTTAAAAGAAATAAATGTTTTAAATGAGTAAGGATGAGTTGAGCTGACACGTTGTACAAACCAAACTCTTTCATAGAGCCACCGTCGAGCTAGACATTTTCGCCATTGACCAGCACCACTGCGAAGCTGTTTCCCCGCTACTCCAAATCCCAGTTTTAGAAATTCCTCCATTGCCCCAGAAGCTTCCGAAGCATTCACACCGGGATGTCTAAGATCAATCCCGAGGTCTTCAAATTCGTCATCACTTTCGGCAATGCCTGTCTCAGCATTCCAAATCTAAAGAAATCATTTTCGGTGCCCTTTAATCGAAAGTTGTCACTTTACTTAAAGTGAGGCTTGGCATAGTTCCTCAGGATTAATTTTTAAGTGAAGTTTCGTCGACAATAAAAATAAATAAGCAAATGCTATAAAAAGTAAATATTATTACGGAAAGTGAAGACTAACATCCGCTAAGAGGATCCACAAGCTGCTTTTGCCGCTGCTCACTATGCTATTCGCCTTATCGCGAGGGACATCGAAAACAGAGATGGTGTCGTTGTAGAAAATCGTTAGCGACATTGTTTCCTGAAGACTCTCGGAAGCTACGCTGACAGGTTGTACACGCTTCTATATATTCTAAAATCAATCGTTAGTGGCATTGTTTCCTAAAGGCTCTCAAAAGTGGCAGCCGCGAAAGAGGAAACAGAAGTATGAAATTGATTTTAGAATATATAAAAATGTGTACGTGTTATCCCAGCTCACCTTGACTAATGTATAACAAGCCCAATAATACATTTATGTTGTGTTTGTGGAATATTTGGGTACGTTCTACACCAAGATCTACAAAGTCTAGTATATTTGTGCTGAATTTAAATGAGTCAAGTTGAGCTGGGCAAGAAGCTAGTGTACTCATAATTGACAAAATGAAAATAAATTGTATATTTTAAAGAAATAAATGTTTTAAACGAGTTAGGTTGAGCTGGGCTGACACGTTGTACATACCAAACTCTTTCACAAAGCCACCATTAAGCTCAACTTCTTCGCCATGGACAAGCACCACCGCGATATTGCCTCCTCCTGCTCTAAATCCCAGTTGTAGAAATTCCTCCACCGCCCCAGAAGCTTCAGTCTTCCATCTTATCTCACTGGAGCAAATATGTTATCTGAGCTGGGATCTCAAAATAAGTGATTTTATAGATAATTAGCGTTAAGATCGAGTGAAGCTCAACCAAATAGTCAGTTATGAAGTGGTTAGGAAGATATATTATGTTGCTATTCCTTGTTGTAATACTAATGACAAATTAGTGTGGGGAGCCTCAATGTCCGATGAGTTCACAATTAAGTCGGCTACTTGGTTACAAAATAGTACTTGTCAGCAATCGGTTGGACAAGTCTTTTTAATTACTGTTTACGAAAAAAAAAATTAAACTTTAACTAAGAAATAAAAAAATTCAAAATTAACGAAATTAAAATGAATTCACGAAGCGAGGTACGATAATTGTACATCCAGGGACGAAATTTTACATCCTCTCCACCTTATAGAAATTTCGTCCCCCAAATATTCAGTGCCTATCACACTGCAAGTAGCTCAAATAATAACAATGCTACATAAGCATAACAAAAGGATTCAAACTAACAAAGTCATCCTCTTACGTTTAGTCTCATCTTAGCTACCCATGATGCTACCCAAATGTTTTCTCCAACGTTAAGGTAAAGGTACAAGGACCTAATTTCTAAGCTCTGATAATACTCAAAGTTGTCAAGCTTCAATTTTGAGTTGCGTTCAGGATCGACACGTGACATAAGGCTTTATCAGAATAACCACATAAAATGAAGCTAGATTCAATATTATTGTCATATTTTCTGATATTGTTTCAAAAATAAGGTGGTATAAGATATATGATTCAAATTAATAGTTGGTAAGAATAGCATTATGAATAAGGTGTCGTTATTGTCGCCACTCCAAAAATCTCATTATACACTCCTCATAAATGTATTTTGCTTTCTAAATATAGAACATTTGAAGTGCACAATGAGATTTTTGTAGCATCGATAAAAGCTCCAAAGCATAATTATCGTATTGTCTGTTAAAAAAAAAAAAAAAAACTAATTAGGGCAAACTTAAACCTGGTTCACTACAAGGTTAATAATGAGACAACACTTTATGTGCATTGCTCTAAAAATCTCTGCCTAGGCAGCTGGCCACCGTCCCAATTAATCTCTAGGCGTTTGAAAATTAAGAAAGTACGCCTAGACATGCTTAGGCATCTGCCTAGCCCTCTTATACCCACCTAGGTCATGACTCTCACTTAGACAAAAAATCAATAACTTTCATTTTGCATTTTAATTTTTCAATAAAATGTAAGAGACTTGTTAAATACTTGGATGAACACTCAATGTATGCTTGTTCCCCATGTTTGTAATATGTTCTAATACTTTATAATTTATGTCATTTTATTTTACTATTTATGTATCTCAATATCATTATATGTGGTTTTTAAGGATAAATAGGCACTTATTTATACAATATATAATAAATTTATTTAAATCCGACTAGGCGCTAGGCCCCAACTCGCCGCTCAACTAACGCCTAGTGTCTTTCAGAACCTTGTTTACGTGTTATGCAAGTTTCTAGGCAAGCTGAATTTAGAAACACTAATCTGTTGAAAGTCGAATGATGTTGTTGTAGAGTAGTCCTGAGTACACATAAAATAGAGCCCATGCATACAGTCAAATACAAAAGCTTGGCAGGTAACGGGTTTCACTTGGTTGTACCCTATGTCAAATACAAGTGTTGGCTACATTTGATGGTGTTATGGGGTTGCTGGGAATTTAGGTTTGGGAACTTTGATGATTAGGACCTCGCCAATGACTCAAAAGTTGATAGTTTTGTTGTTCAACAAAGTGAAGAAGATCATAGAAATTCAAAAAAGCGATACTAAGAGTCGAAAATCTTGGGTAAGAGATCATTAATTTGTCTATGAAAGTAATCATACCAAAATTTTGGGTTCATGTCGATAGATGGAATTACTAATGTCTATCTATATTGTTTATAGATGTGTCTGTAAATTAAGACCTAGTAGTTATATGTTTAAGCTCAACAGTTTTACTTCACAGTTAGGCAAGAAAAGTTTGTACACCGAAGATTTTCCTTTGCAGACTTTTTAATATATCAAAAAAGAATAAGGTAGGATTTTGAGGGCTTACTTTGTAGGGTTGAACAAAAAAGATAACACAACCTTGCCCGATCTTCACATCCATAAATTTTTTAATGAATGAATGATATTGGTTGGATTGATATGTTTGGCTTACCAATTCGACAGGTGCTTTCATCAGAAAAAGGGAAATAAATGTTATCATAATTGAAAACTTTAAACAAAATTGTCATCTATATATGGATAACACTTAATTATCCAAAAATTACAAACTATGATTCAGACAAAAAAACCTCCCTCCATGTTACTTCATCAATACCAAAATGAAGATTGGCGATCAAACTTTTTCTGCCCCTCCCTTCCCACATCAGACACACTCCTAAAGCCAACTTTCTCACCATGAGATCTACGAGGGCTAAGGTTAACCAACTTCGAGAACATTCCACTTATCAAATTACCATCCGGCGCCTTCTCATAAAACTCATCTTCATCATCATCTTCTGCATCACCTTCATCCCCAGATTCGAGCAGTGAACCCTTTTCTTCGATTGGAGGACAATCCCAAAGGTGTGATCCTTCACTATTTTCATTGGTTTCTAGGAAATTGGAAGCCTTATCATAGTCATTGCTGCGCAGTCCGCTCGGTGAATATCTTTCCATGGCTTCCAATTTTGTGGGAGATGGCTCATATGACCTACTTAGCTCATTGATATCATTCCATACAGAACTTGTGGTTGAAAAAGAGCCAAAGGATGTTCTTGAGGCTTCGGAGGCCGATGAAGAGAAAGAAGTTGCTGATGAAGGAGAAGCCGTTGCACTTCCAAATCCTTGGATTTCATTTGTTATTTTGAGAGCTTTTAAACGTGCTTCTCTTAGGATTTGTCCTCCTCCTAGCAAGTTAAGTATTTGGTCTGATTTCTTTTGCATGCTAACACCCCAATTGAATCTATCATGATAAAAAATTAAAATTAAAATTAAAATCAAAAGGTATAAAAAATCAAAAATTTAATATTTCAAAGAAATGAATATAGACTATATGAAATTACCCTTTATTATCTATGTATTTAAACGATCCAAGCTCTTGGATGACATAACTATCACGTTGAAATTCTTCAGCAAAATCTTCAGGGCCATGTGTTAGTAAGAACTCCAGAAGTATTAATGCTTTGTAGGATTGCCTCCACTCTTTCCAATCTATGCTATATAACCTATATTATTTATTTTGTGCATATTAACCTTATATTAAACCAAGAAATTATAGCATTAATATGCAATTTACAGTAGACACTTCTGGTTGATATAAGTTTAAACAAGAAGAAAATGATTACCTCCGATGCAGAATATCGACAATTCTCCAATAGTCATCCACGTCAAAGGAGGCATCAGCTATTTTAGTCATTGTCTTAGCATCAGGGCTATATGGATCATTATTTGTTGCTTCCTCAGCTAACCTTTATGACAAGATGGATCTCATGGCATGTTAGGGTTTATATTCGACAAAGGGGGCCGGGTTGGGAACAAATGAAATAACATAATAAAAAAGGTGCAAAGAGAAAAGTACTTACAATTCAGTTGGAGTAACATCAGTAAAAGTCAGCCTAGCAATTTTGTATTTCTCCTGTAGAAAATTAGATGCTTGCTTTTTGATATGGTTCAAAAACAAGGTTCCCATAGCTGCCAATAAGTTCTTAAAAATTTGTAACCATGAACCCTAGTTTGAAACCCTAAACTAATTGGTAAGTTTAATGCTTATGCGCAAAATTTTGGTAACAATAATCCAATCACTAATGTCTAGTACCCCATATTAGAGGATAATTGAGGCCTCAAACTCAGTTCCCTAAATGTTTAAATTAAACCGAAGGTTTCTTAGTTTAGAAGAAAATTCATAAACTTTTTGAGATAGAGGAGATTAGTATAGGATCAACTATTTCATGGGAAGCCATGATTATAGCTCAAATAGTGGAGGACCGGTAGGGTACCCATTTTGAATGTGGGGGAAATTACAATTGACTAATATTGGAAATTTGACCGAATGTTACCCACAAATTTTTAACTATTTTGTTTTTAATTTTTCTGTTGAAAAATTATAAACTATATACATAATTATAGTTATAACCCAAACAAAATTCGTGCCTCATTTGAGATTTCTAATTCTATCATTTTTCTATTTTTATTTTTATGTATAACTAAACTATTTCCCAAGTATTTTTTTAATTATTATTTGATTACATGCCATGTTTCACTTGCATGCAAATTCTAGTTTCAAATGATCCTATGACTGGCCATCATTAGAAACTTTGTTGATAGAGACTTAGATAAATCTAAGAGGATGACCAATCAATTAGATTTATTGAAACTAAGGTTAAAAACAATATATAAACTAGTAAGGATGACCCATCAATAAAATTTTCTATAAACGAGATATTTACAAGATTTATAAGCCGAACATAGTAAAGTTAAAACTTACTTGTTTCCTAAATGAGTCGAGCTCAAATTTGTTTTTTTTTTTCTATTACAATCGAGGGGAACTCAAATTTGTTTATTTATATATATTAGAAGCAGAAATTGCAAGGAAATGGCCACGGACGAGGTTGTGTATGGTTTGGTGGGTGGCTATCGGGTAGGTGGAGAGTTTTTTTTTTTTTATTATAGTACAAAAGATAACATTGTTACATTAAAGGTTAAGTTCAATGTTACATTAAAGGTTAAGTTCATAGACAGTTGTCAAAAAATTAGAAAACAAACACTGCATCATAAACAACAAACCCGCGGCCCCTAGTATTACCCTTATCTTCAATCCTAAATACTTTTTTTTTGAGAAAAAATACGATATACATTGAAGATTGAAATACGTACAAATTGAGGATAAGGTGCTTTCAGTGGGTTTCGATAAAAACCTTGCCAAGGTTTTCAACCCGATCGAAAGGAAAAAGAGCATCCCGCACCAAATTAGCTACTAGTACTATCCTCTAATAATAAATCAGAAATTACATCAGGAGATTCTTCAAACCAGGAAATAGGGCGATCAACAGTGAGACTAAACCTCGCAAGGCGGTGAGCCACCTTATTCGTCTCTCTTCGACCAAATGTGATTTGCCATTGCTTGAAGTCCTGCAAGAGCCACGTAGTATCGTCGAACATATGTCCATAATGACCACTAAACGCTGCACCTGCATTTTGAATTGCAGAAGTCACTAACAATGCATCCCCTTCCACCTGAACTTGCTTCGTGACCCATCTGCGTAAGAAAACAACTGCTACCTCTGCATGCAGCGCTGATCTCATGTCGTCCTCCCTTCACCTGCGCTGCCAAAAACCGTCCCTCCGAGTTTCTCACTACCAACCCACAGCCTCCAATTGACCCCTGCTCATCCAATGATGCATCAAAATTACATTTAAACCAACCAGAGGCCAGAGATTGCCATTTATTTATTCTATCCGAGGAAATATATGGTGCCACCTCATTCCATTTTTTATATTGCACCAACTAAGTTTGTGCTTTGATTTGTGTATCCAACGGATCCGCCTCAACCCCATTCCAAAGAAAATCATTACGAACCTTCTAAATACTCCAAATAAGTGCCAATAGCAACTCAAATTGTCCTTGGACAAACTTTGCGCCATATACTCCAACCAACGTCCAAATCCCTCCTCAATTCGATAAAATGAACAAATTCCCAACGGACTTCCAAACCACACCGATGCCGCTCTAGGACACCATATTAGAGCATGTTCTATCGTCTCTTCCTTTTTATCACAAAACCCACAAGTATCCTCCATAATCGCCCATCTACTCTTCAAGTTCACTTTGGAAGGCAATGCATTCATAAACCCACGCCATACATAAATTTTCACTTTCCTTGTAACCTTAGCTCGCCACAAAGCTTTCTATAAGAATCGTGTGTTACGGAACACATAGGCTCATCACCACTCATCCTCGGACACGATCGAGCCACAAAGTATGCACTCTTAGTAGTGAACATGCCCTTAGGTTCCTTAGCCCACATCAAAGAACCGGCATGGTAGAATAAGCTCAAGGGTATACTCAAAATCAAATTCACTTCCTCTTCCAAGAACCAACTTCAAACTAAATTAGAGTTCCATTGAACCCCATCATCCTCCAACATCAGTGATGTCATCGTGAGCTCTGGGGGCACCCCTACCAGTATGGGGCTAAGCACTTTGTAATAATGTTCTCATGGTAGCCAATTATCTCCCCATATATGAATTTGCAAGCCATCCCCCACCCTTCATTGCATACCTCGACAAATAATAGACCTAGATGCCACCACACTACGCCAACAGTAGGACAAGTTAGGTTTGACTGGAGCCTGTAAGAACTTAGAATTAGGCTAATACCGAGCTTTGAAAATTCTTGCCACAAGGGAATTAGGCTGCTGTAATAATCTCCACCCTTGCTTCGCAAGCAAAGCAAGGTTAAACGCATATAGGTCTTTAAATCCCAAACCACCTACACTTTTCGGCTAACACAATTGTTGCCATTTCACCCAATGTGTTCTCCATTTCCCTCATTCTCTTCCCCACCAAAATTGAGCCACCATTTGGTTTAGTTCATCACAAAATGACTTAGGGAGCAAAAAAGTATGCATCGTATATAATGGCACGACTTGAACAACCGCTTTTATCAAGATCTCTTTCCCCGCACTACTCAACAATGAACAACGCTTACCATTCAACTTTTCCACAGCCTATCTTTAATATAAGCAAATGTGTCTTTCTTGGACCTACCAATGAACACCGGTAAGCCAAAATATCAGTCGTGACACTCCACTCGTTCCATCTTTAGGCAATCTGCCAACAATTGTGCATCCAATTTCATAAGGCTCCGACTAAACGCCACACTGCTTTTGGTAAGATTGACCGCTTATCCAAACGCCCTTTCATATGTACGTAAGAGCTCCTTCACCTGCAAACACTCTTGCAAAAAACTCCTGGCAAAAATAAAGCTATCATCCGCAAATAGAAAATGGTGAACACTTGGTGCACCTTTGCATTCCTGGACCCCCTGAATTTGGCCTTGTGCTTCCCAGGAATCAAATAGAGCCGATAAACCATCCGTGCATAAAACAAAAAGGAACGGTGATAGCGGATCTCTTTGGCGGATTCCCCTTTTCGGATAAACTAATCCCACAAGCTCTCCATTCAATTTGAACGAGTAAGATACCGTAAACACACATTATTATCCATTATATCCATTCCTCCGCAAATCCCAACATTCTCATTATTTGCAATAAGAAACTCCATTCAATACAATCATAGGCTTTACTGATATCTAACTTCAACGCCATCACCCCATTCCACCCATTATTCTTCATATGCATATAATCTGCAATCTCCGAGGCTACCAAACAATTGTCAGAAATTAGCCTTCCCTGTATAAAAGCACTTTGAGATGGTGAAATAATTTCCAGAATAATGGCCTTCAGCCGGTTAGTAAGAACCTTTGAGCATATCTTGTAAATCACATTACAAAAACTAATTGGCCTAAGCGTCATCGCTAAGGGATCAACTTTCTTTGGAATCAATGTGACATGGGTATAGTTGATTTTTTTAAGCATATGACCCGATGAAAAAAATATGCCTAACCCTATCACACACATCTTGGCAGACCGTCTCCCAATACTTCTGATAAAAACCCGATGACTTAACATCAGGTCTTGGCACCTTAGTCGGGTGCATTTGAAACAACGCCTCTTTAATTTCATCATTGGATACCTGTCAAATAAGCTCCTGATTCATCTTAGCCGACATTTTGGGTGTGACCCGCATGATTTCCGACACATCCGTCTAACCCTGAGAATCAAACAATTTCGTGAAATAATCAACAATCACCATCTCCATACCCCTCTTATCTTCATGCCACACCCTAGCCTCATCATACAATCCCGACAAAGCATTCCTACATTGTCTTCGATTAGCCTTCTGGTGAAATTTTTTTGTATTTTGGTCTCCAAGTTTTAACCAATTTTCCTTGGTTGTATTTTGGTCTCCAAGTTTTAACCAATTTTCCTTGGACCTCTGCCTCCAGAACGCTTCTTCATGAACCAATAAAGCTTGCAACTGAGTGTTTAATTCATGTCATTGTGCAATTGTTGTTTCAGTAAAGGGCTTTCCAAATAATGCATTCAATTTATCTTCTGTTTCTGAGATCTCCCCCAGAATTGACCCCTTCATAGTTTTAGCCCAATTAGTCAACTGTAATCGTGTATCTTCTTTGTGACTCAAAACATTGGTGAACCGTAGAACTCCGTTGCCCAACCTTGTTTGACTGCCTTTACACGCCCCTCTTCCACCGACCACCCTTCCTTATATATAAAGAGTTTTTTTTTAATTTAGTTTTGGTTTTTGGCGTCCATTCAACCATTATAGGTATATCGTCCGACGAATTTGGTTTCAAATGATAAACTCGAAACCCCGAAAACACATTCACCCACTTTTGCGAAGCTACAACTCTGTCTAATCTTACTTTGATTCCCCAACACTTGGTAGTCACCCAAGTAACATATCCCAAATCTTGTAATTGGCAATTTGCAAGTGCATTCTGAAACCCTTCCATTTGGCATTCACTTCTTATATCACCTCATTCCTATTCCTCGGCATACAAAATCTCATTGAAAGCTCCCATGCAACACCATGATAAATTCGATTTCCAATCAACCTTTGAAGCAAACTCTATGATTTATGTCTATCCACCTCTGCCGAAAAACCATAGAAGAAAGTAAGTCTCCAGTGATTAGCATCGCCTATTTCTCCAACCTCCAAGTTAATATTATTTGACGAATACAATCTTAGCAACAAATTTGCCTCCTCTCTCCACATTGCACACAAATCCCCAGATTTTCCCGAACTTGGAATTGAAAACACAAAATCA